ATACTTTAAAAACTGAAGAGAGAAGAAAAAAAAGCATCCACCAGCCTGGGTTTTGGAGACAAAGCCATTAGTGTGAGCTGCCAAAGAAGAACAGAGAAACCACAAAGGATGCTCAGGGAAAAGCCTACAGAGGAAAGGCCAAATTACTGCTGCTGCCTAGTGGAGCTAAGGGGTTGGTGCCCAGGCCAAAGCCACAGATACGCCTCAAGACCAGAATGTTTAGTTCCCCTGCTACAGGAGCTGCCTTTCACTTAGTCCTGTCCCTGAGCTGTTCCAGTGCAAGCTGGAGGGTCAGGAACCCCCCACTCTCCGAGGGCATTCCTCTGATGCTGTCCCCCACCAAGGACTGTATCCCTCCATGCCTGGGAAGCACCACAGCACACTGATCGTCAGAGCCCTCCCACTGTTAGCACCCTCCCTTGCCCTCAGCATGGCATGCTAGAGCTGACTCACCTCTGAACTGCACTTTGTTGAGCTGTGTTTCAGCTAATTAAGCTATTTATTAGCCCAGGCTTAATGAAGTCATTCACCACTTGGCTTTATTAATAGCCATTATTAATATTTAGCTTATCAAGGTGGCAACAGATTCACCTGGAAAGCCCACAGTGTTAGCCAGTGTGGTGGGAAGGCTGAGATGCTGAGAGCATCCCTGTGCCAGAAACAGAATGAGGGCAGCAGCTGTGCCACTGCAGGCAGGACTGCCCGTGTCCTGGGTGCAGTGCTCAGGCTCCAACGATGTATTTGGGCTCTTCTAGGGGGACTGTGGTGTGGAGTTTTTACAGGGTCCTTTCCCAAAAGTCTTCAGGCAACTTCATGTTTTGTAGCCCTTCCTCTGCTGAGAGCTCTGGGGTGGATGGGTGGCCAGAACAGCTCTGAAAGTATAAAAATTATTAGTTCATGGCTCAGTAAGGTAACATTACTGCTCATCTGGAGTGCAGGAGTCTGCTTCTCCAGACCAGGAAGAACAGACTTCTCATTTTAGTCACCAAAAAGGCTTTCTATATGTCCTGATGTAATAACTGCAGTCACTGAGCAGTAAATCCACTTCCAGGAGAAACCCCTCAAGAGTCCACAGGGATTCACAACTGTACTACGGAGAAACAAGTGCCTCAAAAATTTACAGGTTTTTAGGAAAAGAAATGTTTGTTCTACCTCCCTCTTGGAAAGAGAGAATTAAAAGAGAAATATTCAGGCAAACAGTTCTCTTACTATTTACATAGAACATAGGTGAATATTTGTTCCAAAAAGAACAAACAAACTCCAGTCCCCCCCCAGAAAGAATTATTGGGGTGAGTGCCAAAAAATCCTACTAAAAGTCTCCTGACCTGCTGCAGACCCTGGACAATGAGAAAGGAATGGGACCACCCTTCTGCTACCCCCTTAGAAATGGTTCCTATTAGCACTGGGAGCTTCTCTCCTTCCTGTGGACAACTCCCATCAGAGCCAGCTAGTGCAGCTCACCTAATCACAAGGGTTGATTTGCTCCCCTTGATTTGAAAATTGGCTTTGCCATTGGCTTGATTGAGGCCATGTGGAGCATTATGTTCCTGTTACTCATGTTATAGTTTTTAAAGGCAGTCACAGTGATTTACCTATGAATGTCAACAATATCTCAGCAGTCTGCCAAAGTTTCCATGAATGACCTTGGTCCTGGGAACAGAAGTGATGGGCAAAAGTACCCAAGGAAGAAAAGCTAAGAGGTTTTCTTCCTTTTTTTTTTATTTCTTCATTTATTTTATTTTATTTTTTTATTTTATTTTTAAATAAAGCTTCTGCTTTAGCCAAAGGAAAATCTGAATTTGTGGCCCACCCACCTGCATACAACAGCAAACCTGGGCCCCTCTCTGTGCACCACTGGGCTCAGGATACATGTCTAGCTGTGACAAAATGGAAGTTTCAGAAGACCTTGTTTATCTTCTGCTTTCCACAAAAAATGTCACTGATGTTTTGCTGGAGTCCGTTGAACTATTTAAGAGACTGAAGTCAAAAGTCATTGACTGCATTTTCTGGTAGTAGATTCAACATAGGTTATAGTCTCTCTCTATAAAGTTTTGCACTGCTGAATTATAACAAATCCTGATGCCTTTGGGGGCAATAAAAATAACTCCAGCATGTGACAGAAAATGAATTATAATTCAGAATTATTCTTCATAGAAATCATATATTGTTTAATTACAACTATAGCGGCTATTTGATTCTGAGATAAGAACAGTTACCATAGTGACCCAATCCTTAAAGGTAATTTTCACCTAACACTATATAAAGCACTATATGATACCTACCTTCACAGAAAGCAGTTTACAAAGATGAGTTTTCCAAGTGTTAGGTCTTGAGTATGAAAAAGCAACAGAAGCTATACGGAAAAACATTATCCATTCAGTTACTGCCTGAAGAGCCTTGTATGCACATTTTCCTACAAGCACACTCATAGATGTTGTCTGAGATTCAAAGCAAGGTATAAATCTTGCTCAGCTTTCCAGCCCATGTAGACTCTACAGAAGAATTTCAAACATCTGTGGAGAATTAGAAAAAACTGAGAGAAGGAAATCAGAGACGTTTGTTCTGCAGAACGAGCCACTCACTAATGCCTACCATCAGAGGAGTTAAAGAACATATTTACTTACTTTGAACAGTCTTAATACGTATATCTCTAATAGACCTGCACTCCCCTGTGAAGATTTTGGGAAACATATTCTGAAGTCGCAGCCATTGCTAGAGTCAAGCAAAGGCACATTTTGACACATGAAGTGAAATGCAATCCTCAGTGAGACTAGTACAAATTATTATTTGTCAATAATAACATCTTTTTGGGGCTTCTTTTGGTAATTCTTGCCTATTTCCCTGCATCCCTATAGTGGATTTAGAGGGACTGGTCTGCAGGGTTGCTCTGGGGAGATCAACCCTGTTCCTGTGCTGAGCCGTGTGGAGAGCCGGGTATCTCGCACCTCCCATCAATAACCAGCCACACATCCTTGGTGGCCCATGAGGACAATGCAGAATCTCTTTCACTTGGGTGGGTCCCTATGGTAGAGAAACCAACTTGCCTGTTGGTAGGAGCCCTGTGGGCAACCATGGTCTTGGTGATGGGGCTGAAGGACTGGTCTGGTTACTGGACTTCTGCTGCCTTGTGGAGTGCAGTTGTTTGTCTACCCACAGCTCAAAACCATTCTGGTTATTAAAGATAGTCAGTCAGAGAGAGAGGCAGCACCGACCCAACTGGGGTGACAAGTTGGTTTTCTCATGTCATTGTAGATTTTCTTGTGATCGCCATGCAGCAGGTTACCTTGGTATATGACATCCTATACTACAGCCACTCTTCTTAAATTACTTTATGGTCCTTGCTCTGATGCCCAGGGCAGGCCTGATCTGGGAGAGCACAGAGCTGACAACCCCTGTCCAGGGAACTGTGGGTTTCTCACTTCCTGAGGTGACTTTTCCTTCTAAACATTCCTGGCAAACCGTAGCCAATCATGTGAAAATGCTGATGCTGTACCTCCAGGTGATTAATACACCAAGCCAGCTGAATGTGGGCTTAGTTTAGACTGTTGGCCATAATTAACCTTTTATTTTTGAAAGTTGAAAGATGTAAACTTCTTCCTTCCCAAAATGGAAAGGCAGGGGTTGTTTCAGTGGTCTTACACCTTGCTTCAAAGCTGGCCTGCATGGGACGAGATAAAACAGCTATGTGGCCTTTACAGCTTCCCTAGGATGTGCAGAGAAGGGATGAAAGTTTCTCTCTGTCCCACCATTGAGTGATGAATATTTGCAATAGCAGGTTTAATTAAAAAAATGTTGGGCATTACAGTAAAGGCCTACCAGCCCCCTGCTGCGATTGTCTAGCAGCAATGAGGGAGATCAAGCCCAATAGCCTTCAAATGTTTGGCTTACTAAAATGTGCCCCTCCTTTTCCTCAGTGTTCCCTCTTCCCTTACCCCGAAGACACATTCCTGCTAAAAGCCATCCAGTCCTTCCCTGAAACACAAGTGGTGCCGAGTCCACTCAGCCAGCCTCAGCTGTGCCTGGAGCGAGTGGACAGGCTCCTTGTTTTAACATGTGGGATGTGTCATATCCACTTGTGCTTCATCTCAACTTAAACACTTTTGCTTTCCAAAAATGTTGGGTCCAAAGGGCAGAGGTTTAGATAAAAGAAATCATAAAGGAGGTTTAATGCTTGATAAAAAAATACTATATTGTTATAGATGAATAATTAAGTACCTTGTGTCAGTTTCCAGGCACTGAATATGAGAAATGAAGGATGCAAATACAGTGACAGAAACAAGCCTATGTGTCAGTTCCCAGACACAGGACTGAGAAAAATGGAAGGTCGTCCTCACCCATCCTTAAACAATCAGCACTTTGCCAATTACCTAAAAGCAACAGTTGTAATAACAGAGAAATTTTTGTAAGAAATGATCCTCCTCATGTAGAGCATGAGCTAAAAATATCCTTATGCTATCCACAGCATTGGATGATTTTCCACCATCCTCCCCACACCTGAGAACACCCATGGGACCAGGGGATGAGGAGCATCCCTGTATCTGGCAGGACTGAGAGAGGGTTGCTGCCTCAGCTGATCCCTCTGAATGCAGGTCCAGTGGCAGACTGGCTAGAAGACAAACAGAATTTTAATTTGACTCTTTTTTCAAAGCACAGCAGGGTCTTGGGAGGAAGGTGCTGTCCCCAGGAACAGAGCAAACCTCCTCCCAACGCTGTGGTGAAATGCTGGCAGAGGAATAGTTGAACACCTGAAAACGTCAAGACTTCAAAGACTTTAAATAAGGATCTAAATTGTTAGATTTTCAGCAGTTTGAAAAAAAAAATCTTTGATTTAATTTTAATTGCTATTTACTAGGGTTAAAGTTAAAACAGTCTCATTAGAGTTTTCAGCAACAGAAGAATAAACATGGAGGACGAAGGCTAAGGAAGTGTTTAAGTTTCTTTTTTTTTGCAGGGCATTTAGTGGGGTTTCCTTAGCCATGGAAAGGCTACAGTGTTACTCAGGCTGAAGGTGGAGGGAGGTGAATGTCTCCCTCTGCTCTGTCCTCAGGAGGCCCCATCTGGACTGCTGCATCCAGGCAGGATATGCCTATTAGAGCAGGGCTGGAGGAGGCCACAGAGATGCTCAGAGGGCTGGAGCAGCTCTCCTCTGCAGCCAGGCTGGGAGAGCCGGGGCTGTCCAGCCTGGAGAGGAGCAGGCTCCAGGGAGGCCTCATTGCAGCCTTCCAGTGTCTAAAGGAGGCAGAGAGTCATAGGAGAAAGGGGAACGGGTTTCAACTGGAAGCGGGGAGATTTGGATCGGATGTTAGGAAGAACTGTTGAGGGTGGTGATACACTGGAACAGGCTGCCCAGAGAAGCTGTGGATGTCCCATCCTTGGAAGGCCCCATTCCAGGCCAAGGTGGACAGGGCCCTGAGCACCCTGATCCAGCCGGTGGCATCCTTGCCCATGGCAGGGGGTTGGAACTAGGTGATCTTCAAGGTGCCTTCCAAGGCAAGGCATTCTGGAACTCCATGAGGGTGCAAAGTGGATTGCTGCTGCCTGGGCATAGAATGTTACCAAACGGTTGACATGGAGAGTCCTGCTTTGAGGACTCTGGTTACCAGGAGTCTGTTAAGTCAGTTGATGAATTCTCTGCTGGGCATCAGATGCAGAGCATCCGTCTTCTCCATCCCAGGTGGGATCAGAAGGAGATTTGCTGACATTTGTGAGAAAAACTCTGGACTGAGCGTACAGGTGAGAGCAGGTGATTTTTTAAGAGATTTCTGAGGCTGAGGGACTATTCTGGGCTTCAGGTCCAGCTACAGGTGGGATCAAGTACCAAACTCATGGAATTCCCCTCTAGCTTTGGGCAGAACCTGGTGACTTGGGAATGGGAATTTTGGAGCAGGGGAGTGTCTCAGAGAACAGGCATTCTAGATAGATAATCTCTCTGCTTTTCTGGTAGATTTGGAAGAACATCATTCTCTGACCCTGAGAAATCAGAGCTTTGTAACAGTGTGCTACCTAAAGGAACCCAAAGGATTGATTGCTGTAGCTTCCCTGACATTCCCTGACATTCCCTTTTTGGTGTTTGTCTGCTTACTTTTCCAGTGGTTTTAGATCACGAAACACTATGAGCACAGTAAGTATTTCACTGCTCAGTGCAAATCTGATTCTTGAAACATGTTTTCCAGGGTACTTCTAGAAGGGATTTCAAGAGTTTGTAGCAAATGCATGGGAACAGAAGCCTATTAAAACTTCATGTAATTTCATGTTCTGGGATATAGAAGATTCTGAATCTCTCTGGGCGCTTGTAATAGTTCAGAAATGCTTACAGTGTGAGTAACAGTCTGATATAATTGTGAACTACTCTTCTCATTTGCAAGCCATTAGGACAGGCTTTTTCTTTTTGAGGCAACTGGTAAGAGGTCGGGGGAATGTCCTTTCCTTGATGTCACGCGCTCTGGTTGGAATGGCCCACAGCACCATTTGATGCATATTCCAGCCCTTGTGGGAGTGTTTTCTGTATCCTCATGTGCTTTCGCTGTTGTTGCAAAAATGAGGGCCACGTTAATATTACTCCCACAGAAAATGTTAAGGCTTTGTTCTCTCTCAGAGGCAGCAGAAGCGCTGTGGGGAACCAGCTGATTCCAGACAAGCTCGGAAACGAAGAAGGATGGTGGCTTCTAACACAGATGGAGCCTCAGAAGCAGAGCCAGTAGACCCCAGAGAAAGTGGTACACTTTCTTCTGAGCTTTGTAAGAACAAAAACTGTTTCTGAAAGGCTGGGGTCCAGTTGAATGTGAGCTTTTGCCCATTTCTATGCCCTTTACTGGGAAAGAAGGGAAATTTGGATTTTAGGAAGTGCTTAGTATAACATCTCTGAACAAGAAGCCTTCTGACAGCTGTTTTGGTTTGTTACCGAGCTGTAATACATTCACCACTAGTGGGAGATGAGCTGTGTAGCAAAGGTCCTCAAGTGCTGCTCAAAGTCTGAATGTCTACTCTGAGGTACTGCAGCTGACCCTACAGAGGGTGGCAAATTGAATCTGGGATCTCCCAAGTTGGAAGAAGATAAGAAAAAGTGTTCCCTGAAGGGAACATGTACAGTATGGCACTGTAAAATTAGGGTACCCTCCATGATTACGGTTTTGGTGTCGGTCTTTTTTTCTGTATGCTAAACATTACCCTATGTTAGATGAATCATCTTTTGGTGTGTACCTCCTGTGAGCTGTTGTCATCCAACAGAACTGTGCGAGGAGCTCAGCTGATGTTCCTCTTGCACTGCCCCTTGCAGGAAACAGAGCTGATGATGCTCTCTGTGGACTCTTGAGGGCAAAGCTTGAATGAAATGTTGGACACATTCCTGAAGAGAAAAGACCCAGAGAAAAGTTGAATCCAACCTCAGCCTGTTCCACAGTGGCAACTCATTTCATTCTGCTGCAGTCTCTGATCTTGATTTTAACGTTCCGTTTTTCAGCTGTTGAAGAAGCCATAGATCTCACAGACAGATCTTCTGAGCCTGAAGTCAGTGACCTAACTGATGATAATTCAGTTGTGGTAAGCAGTGAATGGCACACTTCTCTCCATCTTGCACTGAAATTAGGTTTTTTTGTGCTCCTGGGCTTGTCTTCTGGCATCTGAATGGTATCTCTCTAAGCATCATTTCTACTTGAGTCGAAGAGTAATCTAAAAGAGCTTGTTGCTCCAGTGATTTAAAGAAAAAGCAAAGGAGAGGACAAGAAGTCTCTGACTTCCCAAATAAGAAGTGTTTAGCTGCAACATCAGTTTAAGGTACTCCTGTCACTGAGGTGCCAAGTGCACCCGCAGCTGACTGGGGTACAAACTAGTCCTGTTTATTACTCCATGAAGTCTTTAAAAAAGTCACATCTTTTTCTTTTCAATTTTCTTGCAATTTGAAAGAATAGTCTTTGATCCAACCCACAGTGTAGTTTATTTCCTCAGTTTTGGGATGCCATTGCTGCCATGCAAAGAATGTGCAGCAGGCATAGCATGAAGATATCTCCTGATAGGGCTATTCCTGAGCCTTTGCAAAGAAAAGGCCTCAAACTTTATGACAGAATCTGCATGACTCAGCTCCAGTTACACCAAAAGCAGGTTTGGGTTTGGGTTTTCCTTTCTTCAGCAGCTGTTAACCCAACACAAAGTGTTTGTGGATATCACAGCTGAATTTGCCCGTTTAGGGGAAAAAGAGGGAAAGAAAGATCTCCAGCACAAAACCAATCAGGGAACTTAAACGGGAGCAGGGAGGAGAGTGTTCAGGTGGTTCCTAAGCTACCTCCATTTCTACCCCATTGCAGCAGTGGCAGCAGAGCCAGCAATACCCACGCTTTTTCAGAGCAGCAGATAATTCAGCAGTGCTACTGATGAGTGACAATGAAGAGGAACAAGGAGATTGTGATGAGTATGTGAGAAAGTCTCTCTCTAAAGTTCAATTTCTGCTCTACAGTAGAAACCTGTTTTTACCAAGCTTTTGAGGTCTGCTTGATCCTGTGTGAAAAAATCTGACTTGAAATATAGTGGCCTGTCTGGAAGAGAACTAACTAAAAAAAACCCAACCAGCAAAATACAGCAGAAAACTTTTTGTCCTCTATTCATGACATCCTTATTGAATGTTTCTTACAGAATGACTTGAGCTACACTACAGTACATGAAAATTCTTCGAATGATTGTTTTGCTGGGCTGGGATGTTGCTAAATCAGAAAAACGGATGTTTAATTTTCTGAGATTTTATTTATCAGTAACCCTGGATGCAATTAATTAACCCTGGTGAAACTAATGCTTGCCTGTTCTTTCTGATTCTGTTCTCTCTAGCATATGGCCAGCAGGCCCTGCAAGTTCTCTGTTTTGGGTGGATGAGGACTCAGAGGTAAGGATCCACATGTTGTCATCCTTTCTGCTTTGTGGGAAGGGGAACAGGGCAGAGGGGGAGCTGTGCAACTCTTGTCTTATGTGGGATGCTATGGGGAGCTGGCTGGAAGCACAGACCTTGCTGTGACGGTCCAACTTGCATGACCCTCCAAGTCATTTCTTGGTGGTGTACATAGAGGGAGAAACCCCTTCCATGATGGCAGTGTCAGATCTGTGGATTCCTTATAGTTCTAGCAGTGACTGACAGATTGCAGATACTCCAGATTGCAGATCTTGTTTGCTTGGTGCCAACAGAGCAGCCAACAGGAATTCTTTCCTCCCAGTCCCTGTTGTGGTTTCCTTTCTTCAGCAGCTGTTCGTCTTACACAAAGTGTTTGTGGCTATCGCAGCTGAATTTGCCCGTTTGGGCAAGAAAGAGGGAAACAAGCACCTCCAGCCTAAATCCAGCTAGGGAACTGAAGCAGGGGAGCAGGGAGGGGGGTGTTCAGGTTCTTCCTGTATTGCCTTTGTTTCTACCCCACTGCAGCAGTGGAAGGAGAACCAACAGGACCCACTTATTTATTTGTTTTCAGCACAGAGGCTAATTGACTCCTGTTTTGAACATTCTTACCCAAAACAGGAGGGCAATAACCATTTATTCCTCACTGTAACTGCATTGCTGAACTGCTGTTTGCATGCAACATCAGGAGTTCACAACATCTAATTATATTTTCTTTTCTCTCCCTTCACATATGTATTGATGAAGCTTCTTGAAGGTGAGTTGATGTTTTACAGTTGATCATGGAATTGTCTTAAATTTAATCATTATTTTTTGTTTGTCTTTTCTAAGAAACTCTAGCAGCAGGGATTGAAACTGTGTTAGCAAAAGGTAAAGGACAGTGCTAAAGCCTCTGGCCAGTGTCTTAGAGAAAGCATCCAATCTTTGTCTGGAAGCCACTATCAGACACAGTGGAAAGTCCTTGCAATAAAAGTTGTAGCTGAATACTTATGCAGGAAGAAATTTTAATTTGGTAACACTTTCTGTAATTGTAATTGGTTAGTACTTGATTATTGTTACATGGACACTGGAGTAGCAGAGATCATTGTTACCTGCAGTTTCTGAGAGTTAAAATTCAAACAGCGGTTCTTAACCCTCTGGATTTTACAGACCAGGCCATTAAAAATTGATTTCTCTTGAAACTGGGCAATATAACTCCATTTTCAAGTTACCTTAACTCAGGAGGGAAATGATTACAATTTCTAAGGAAACACTGCTTCAAGTGTTTTTATAATTTCCAAGGATTCCCCTTAACAAGACTCATTGGATAGAAACTTCCTTTGAGTGGTGAGGTCTGGTTTAATGCAGACGAAAAGAATGCAACGATTTAGCATCATACAGCAATGAGGAAGCACAGCATCTCTAGAATGAACAGCTTTAGATTTAAGCATCTCTTCTGTCCCTTATGAAACTTTCTGAACAAAGCATTCTGTTTTTCCAGGCTTTTTTGTTGTGTATGTGCTAAGTTGCTGTGCTCCTTCAAAACTTGACTGCAGATCTCTCTCTCCCCCATCAGACAGCAATTGTTGCCTTTCCTCACCACAGGATCGCAGCAGACCCTGTTAGTAAAAATTGGGGAAGGAGCTTCCCTTTATAGGGCAGATTTATTTACAGGTAGTGCAACTCTATGGAACTTAAGACACTGAGAGTCTCTCAGGTCATATTTTTAGCTGTCTGTAGAGTGAACAGAGCAAATGTTTTGTGTCAGTCTGTAGCAGAAGAGTCACAATGTCTGGAAGGGTGCAGCCTTAATATTTAGGAAACTAATTTGTTTAAGATTGCTTTTAACCCAGCTGAATAGGAACCGTTACAGACTATTTATAATAATACATTTCAAGCGTAGTTTCAGGGAGAGAGAGAGAATAATAGATCTAACTTATCAAAATTAAATTACAGAATATGAACAACAAAGGAGAAACGTTACACTAAGAAGCCAGCGACAATCAGACAGCTCTGTACTGGGTAGCAATGATGAAGATGAAGCGATAGATAATGATGTGTATGTGACTGAATTTTTTTTTTCCTTTTTCTTTTTTTTTTTTTTTTTTTTTTTTTAATAGGGGCAGGATGAAGTTATACTGCTATGGGCTGGCTTATCTTTGAAGCCTTCACTTACTCTACTTATTTCCCTCTTTCTCCTGTGTTGCATGATGATCAAATGATACCACTTGCACTTCAGGAGAAAAAGGCAGCCCAAGGCAGATGCACAACTTTGCATAGAACCTTAAAGACGAGTATGGGGGTATGGCAAGAAAGGGGGATTAATGACAGGCCATAGCTCAAAAAGTATTGCATTTGCTTTTCCTGCCAAGCTCTAGTAGTGATGTCAGATATGGAAATTGGTGTTGATGAGGCTTCGTATCATGGGACCGGAAGCAGCAGCTGGGCAAATTCCATGAAGGTTTTAATATTTGAACCTTTTGGATTGATAAAAGGCAATGTAGGAGAGAACTTGAGTATGGTACTTTTGGGTGTCAGGCCTTAAATACACCACCTAAAGGGCTTCTACTATTCTAAACCATAGTGCATTTTGCCATTGGATTTGTAGATCTTTAAGTGTTGGTTGCTTAAGTGTGTCAGTGAACAAATCCCACCACTTGGTTAATATAAAAAAAGGAATATTTTGTTCCTTGAGTCTCAAGCTTCTCTGTTACTGAGTGCACTTTCCTGCCTTGTTTAGCCCAGACTGAAAGAGCTTGGTGCTGCTGCATCTAACATTGACCAAAGGGTCCTTCCTGGGGCTGGACTTGTCAAAGCTGTCTGCAGTGTTACTCTGTAGCGTCAGGCCCTGTTTCCTTCTGCAATTAATAGTTCCCAGAGGACAGCTCTATGCTTTAGTTACAAAACTGTTATTGATGACCTGTTGGAGATTAATGCTACCATACACTGACTGCCCAGCGCTAGAGGTTGCTGTTACTTCAAATCCTAGAGCAGGGTGACTGACTGCACCTTTCTCCTAATGAAAACCAAGATGCTGTTTCCTTTAGATCAGGGAGATCCAAACTCCTCATTATGTGCAGCAAACAGAGAGTTAAAGATTTGCAGGGTTCTTCAAATCAAATGGACAATGGCCAGTCAGTGCAGTCAGATGATTATGTGACATTTTATATATCGGTAACCCTCGATGCGCAGTGATATTAGTGGCTGCATGTTCTTTGTGGTTCTGTTCTCTCTAGGGCATGGCCAGCAGGTACTATTAGGTGTCCGATTTGCATGGATTTTTACTCAGAGGTAAGGATTCACGTGTTGTCATCCTTTCTGCTTTGTCGGAGAGGGGAGAGGGCAGAGGGGGAGCTGTGCAACTCAGTTGTCTTATGTGGGCTGCTACGGGTAGCTGCCTTGAAGCACAAGCCTTGCTGCGAAGCTCCACAAGTCAATTCTTGGTGCTGTACATAGAGAGAGAAACCCCTACCAGGACGGCACTGGCAGCTCTCTGGGTCCCTCATCATTCTAGCAGTAATGGACTGATTCCAGATATTCCAAGTCTCCTTTCTCTGCTGCCATCAGAGCAGCAAGTTGGAATTCTTTCCTCCAAATACATGTTGTGGTTTTCTTTCCTCCAGATTCTGCAAAGTGAACGACTGTTTTTGTCAACCCAGTGCGGCCATGTCTTCTGCAGTCAGTGCCTCCCTGTTGCCCTTGAGACTGCCAACACATGTCCAATCTGCAGGACAGAACTCACTCATGAACAGTATCATTCCATTTATATATGAGCACTTCTATTTCTCAGGACAGACTCAGATGGATCTTAGGGGATAGGCCATGTAAAGACCTTTTCCTTCATGTATATAGTTATTCTTGTATATAGTTCCATTTTTCCTGAATTTAATTATAAATAAAGTATTGATTAACTTAAATATAGTCAAGTGTGTCTGCTCATCTATGTTGGACTTTGCTGGTGGACAGAGACATCTTTCAGTAGGTGGAAATAACACTCTTGGTTTGACCAGTCAGAAGCACTCATTCTTTTCACCACACTGTAGTCATTGACTTTGGTGGAAAGGTGCTAAAGGCATAAGCTTGGTAGTTCTTGTGGCCAGTGTGTGCTGTATGGGAGAAAAGAAACAGGCACTGCTTGGGATGAGAGGCCTTCTATTTCTCAGGATGCAGTCAGGTGGACATTTTGCTGCAAATGTTGTAATTTCTGTGCTCTGTAGGTTGGAAGAGCAGCAGGTTGCGCACACATCCAAAGAAAACTATTTTCTTTGAGAGTAACTGGTAGGTATCTAGAGAGCTTGTTTATGGTCCAAGCTGCTCCTTGCTATGTTTATATACGGTTACAATGGTTATAATGTTCCACTGTCAGCTGATGACAGCAGCACTGCCAGCTTATGTGAAGCTCTTCCTCTTCTGAAAAGCCTGTAAGCTTCAGGGCAATCACAAGAATGTAGCACTGTGAACTGCTGTGTCCAGCATTTATCCTGCAGAACAGAAGAGAGCAGTGAGCAAAAGCAGTGAAGCAAAGACATAAAGCAACCACCGGGGAGTGGACCGCCACCATGGCCATTACCATCACTATCATCATCACCATCATCACCATTTACCTTTCCTACTGCAAAAGCAAATTGTCTCCAGAGGGAACGAGGAGCCAGCAGTGGTTCCTACATCCAGAGTGCTGATGTGGACCCAGAGTGCTGGGTGGCAGCAAATATCCCCATCAGTCACAGGGAGATACACGGGACATGGCCAGCGGGTGCTGACAGCATGTACCTGTCCATATTTTTGGGACTAAAAGGTGTTGAAAGGTGGTCTTTTCTACAACTGCAGGGCTAAGTGGAACCTACACGTCCAAACCAGCCAAAGCAAAGCAGCCCCAGCAATAAGAAACACGCCTGGGTTTTTGTTCTGCAGAACAAGCCACTCACTACTGCCTACCATCAGGGGGCTCAAAAATGTATTTACTTACTCTGAACAGTCTTAATATATATTTCTCTAATAGACCATCTACCTGCACTTCCCTGTGAAGATTTTGGGAAATATATCTGAAGCCATAACCTTTGCTTGAGTCAAGCAAAGGCACATTTTGACACAAGAAATGAAATGCAATCCTCAGAGAGACTAGTACAAATTATCATTAGTCAAGAATATAATCTTTTGGGGGCTTCTTTTGGTAATCTTTTAGAGATTTCTGTAGCTCACCCTTGGGATTTGGCTTGCAAGGCCAATCATCCCTGATGGTCAGCAGAGCAGCTGCAGGTACCTGCAATCACCTCCTCTCTGCCCTTTGCATTGGGTGTGTCCTCTACTGAGGTCAGCTGCTAAATCCCAGGGGAAAAGTCTCCCTCCACTTACTTTGTTTCTTTGCTGAGCTTCCCAGCACTGAGTCTTCTTTGGAAATATGCATGTGGAATTAATGAAAATAGGACTGAAAGAGTCCGAGTGTGATCAAACTGGATGGCATGGGGCACCGGTGGCTGCATCCTCCATTTGCCATAATCTGAGGGCTGAGGGTAAGAGATGGTATTCTCTCTCACATGGGTTTTTCTTGGGATGATGTGAGCAACCGAATTCAGCTCTGGCTCTGAACTCCCCCCAGCTACCCAGGCTTCATTTGACAAACTCTTCCTCATCCTTCCTCCCTCACTGTGCCAGCTAAATTCAGACAAGGCACTCTTATGCATAAAAGCTGTCAAAGGAATAACTTACAAGTACAGGAGCTTGAAATTCTTGAAGTGTAAAGCTGGCATCCCTGAAGAACTGCAGGGACTATTCAATCCATCTGGTGCTCCCGGCTGCAGAGCAAACAGGCTTTTGACTAGTTCATAACTGTGGCATATGCAAGAGGCTCAATTATTGCTTCTTAAAAAGCCCAAATTATCTCCTGGAGTTGGAGACTGACAGGCACACCGTCTCTGCAGCGTTATGCACGGCTGAATTTTTGCTGGCTTATTCTCTGCTATTCTGCCCTGCCTGTAATTGCATTGCATTTTAACTGTTTAGCATCGTCAGAACTCCAGCCCCAGGGGCAGCGGAGGTGGTGAGAGCTCAACACACCAAATTACTACCCAAAGAGCAAGCAGACAAAAAGCAGAGTGGAGAGGGAGGGAGACAGACAAATGAACCATGTTCATTAGAGAAACAGCAGCCCTGACCGAGGAAGTGTCCTACTGATGTAATGAGAAAGGTGAAAGTTGTTAATAATAAAAAAGAACACAACAACAGAGTTGCCTTTCTATCAGAAAGCCACAAATCTAGAGAAAATAAATGCACAGTGGAAAGCAGAGATGAAAACTAGCAAAATACTCTTTGCTCACGTAGCTCTTTCTTCCCTACCAGTTTTATTTAATGGTGGTTTTTTTTTTTTTTTTTTTTTTTTTTTTTTTGTGTGTGGGTGAGTTCTGTAGTTGTGCTGTTTAGTGCTGTTCCCTTGTGTGCTGTGATGTGGCCCTGTCAGATAGAAATTAAGCACCATGCAGCCGCTTGCTCAATCCCTCCCCTCTCCCCCCTCTGCCCCTTCACCCCTGGTGGAATGAGGAGGAGAACTGAAGTAAAACTTGTATGTTGAGATAAGAACAGTTTAATAATGGAAAATATAATAATAATAATAATGGTAAATAATAATGATACTAAAAAGAAACAAACAAGTAATGCACAATGTCATTGCTCATCGTCCGCTGACTGACGCCAGACTCCCCTTTCCAAACACAGCTCAGTCCCCCTTCTGGGTAACTGCTCCTGGTTTGTATACCAGGCATGATGTTCTATGGTGTGGAATATCCCTTTGGTCAGTTCAGGTGGCCTGTCCCAGCTAAGCTCCCTTCTACTGGCAGAGCATGAGACAAGGGGGAGAAAACTGCCCTTGAGTTAGGATAAGCAAGACTTAGCAAAAACCAAGTCTGTTCTCAACAGTATTCTCATTCTGAATTCAAAACACAGCACTGTAACAGCTACTGAGAAGAAACTAACTCTACCCTAGCTAAAACCAGGATAGGCCCCAAAAGCTGGCATCTCTGCTACAGAAGCCCTCCCATGTGAGGCAGTGAGACACACTTTCCCACAGGCAAGTTTCTGTTTCACCTTTGGCCAGCCAGAGGTCCTGATTGCTGATTCTTTCTTTTCCCCAAAAGATGCTGCAGGTTCAAATCCCTGGGGCAGGTTTTGAAGGATAGGGCCATTTGCAGTCTGTCCCACAGCACAGGGAACAACAGCAGTGGTGGAGCAAAGGCAGAAACCAAGGGAGTGGGATGGGTGTGACACAGCCCCCCAAGTTTGCACGAGTTGTGCAGAAAGTGCATTTGGGGTTTTTTTTCTCCCTCTTCCTGTGGGGAAAAAAAGACGAGGCTAAAAAGTCTGGATCATGTGCTGCTGACGAAAAAAACGAATTCTGCCACCCGTGAGAGTGTGGAAGTGCATCAGAGCTTGTGATGGGGCTGCCCTGCTTAGGCACCTCAGTAGCTTTGACCTCAAGTAACTGACTAAACTCTGTGCAGCAAAGCCTTAAGTCACAGGAGACTGTTGCAGGGAACAGGCCCAGCGCAATGCAGCAGCCACAATGTGACAGCCAGAGAACGAAAGGTTACTTGTGACTCTTTGTCCTACCTACGCGCAAAGCCATGGGAGAACAAGATCATAGAGTGACTTGGTTTGGAAGGGACCTTTAAAGGTTTAGTCCAATCCTCTAGATGAAGGCAAACAGACAGGCATGTCAGCAGGCATAGCCAACACTGGCAGCAATAGATGTTTGTGGTAGCAGAGGTTTCTGTCCCTGTTGCAGGGTAGCCCAATAGGGAAGTGCCTCTGCTGTGGCTCTTCACCCAGGGGAATGTGCAGGGTGGATATGAGAGAGCTGAGAAGATCCTTCAAGTGTCTGTGCTGAATATTTTGAGGGTATTGACATTTCACATCAGATGTATTCACCAGGGTTAATTAAAGCCTGTGTTTTATAGATTGCCCTTATCCATAAATGGAAAATCTGCCTCAATTGGAAATCAATAAAGTAATCTTTAAGTTCTTTTATTTTATTAGATATAGAGTCCTAATTTGAATAAATTGAGAAGCCATAATTAGTGGTGCCAGAGAGGTCCTGAGATGTAAGTTTAAAGCTTCCTGAGGAGTGTGCTTTGCTGTAGGCAGTGTGCTGGAGGTGCGCAGCACAACCAGGGTGTAGCACTGAAGCCAGGGATGCTCTGCTGAGCAAGTTCCTAGGAGTGCTGTGGTGCTGCAGAAACCCAACAGCAATTCAATAGCCAGCACCCTGTACTGATCCCTTGCCCAAAAAATTGAAGGGAAGGCTGTGAGTGGCAGTATTGTCACCACAGGGAACAGCAGGAAAGCCAGATCCTGGAGTCAGCAGAGGGCTGCTGGCAGCTGAAGAGTCCCAGAGATGCTCTGGGATAGCTTCCCTGTTCCGAACCAGTGAGACGGATGTGCTTTATGCCTTTCTCTACTGTGCACAGGTGTGAAGTTAAATGGTTCACTCCTCTTCAGTGGGTTGGAATCATTCCAAAACCACAAAAACCTTTGGGGGTTTTGGAAAGGGAAGTATCCTGATGGTGCTGTTGCTTCCCCTTCCTCCTGATTCTTAACAAGAATGGAAGTTCATATGTTTCCCTTTATGACAAGTTTTGTCATTTCAGGGGTTAAGAGGATCTCAGGTTTGCTTCATTTCTACCCTCCACCAAACTCTCCTCTTTTACTTCATACACACTCACACAAGCCAGTTCCTTTGAGAGACGTTTCCCAACCTTCTGATGAGAACTTGGTGTTCTGCCATGCCCCTTATCATGAAAAACCTGAACACCTTCCACAGTTTTGGTGACTTTCACTTTTCCAGTACCAAGATTTGCAGAAAGCCTTGCTCTCTCCCCATCACTGACTGTAATGAGGATGTTTCCACTTGCCACTCCCAGTATGCCTTCTGCAAGGTTTCGTGGTGTCCCTGCCACCACTATG